TTATATAGTGCCATCCCAACCATTAGATTATTAGAGCCGAGGTGGCGCAGTGGTTAGGGTGCAGTACTAAAGGCCACTACAGCTGACTGTTATCTACAGTTCAGCGGTTCTCACCGGCTCAAGGTTGACTCAGCCTTCCATCCTTCCGAGGTGGGTGAAATGAGGACCCAGACTGTGGGGGCAATATGCTGACTCTGTAAACCGCTTAGAGAGAGCTGAAAGCCCTATGAAGCGGTATCTAAGTTTTAACTCTATTGCTATTTTAAAAAAAGGAAAAAAAAACAAATTACAAAAGGTAGAAACATATGAGAATGCAAAGATAACTGCCTCCTAAATCCACATCTCCTCCATCTAGGAAGTGCAAATGAGGTTGGATCATTAAAGTGAAGAAATAACAAAATTCTTCCGTGCCTGTATCTTAGACCCAGAAGTGTCAAAAATGCCTGCTTGAGGCTTTTTTGCTTGGAGAAATTGCTGGCCCTAAGAAGCTGAGAAACACTCCAGTAAAACCCTGAGCAGATGTCTGTTGAACACCAGGGGGTTGGGGGGAAACTTGAGACCTTTACTGGCATGGCACCTAAACTAAGGAAGAGGAGGACAAAACAACAGAGCAGGTTATTTCCAACCCATGGGGACTGCAGGGTGGATAGGATCACCCAGAAATAGAAAATATGTTGGAACATCTTTTCTTATAACCGTTCTAACGTTGCCAAGACCAGCTGGGTGAGCAGAGAGCTATCTCAAATGAAAGCCAAGGTAAGCGATGTTTCTTCCAGGCTTCTTGCCAGCTGAGCTGTTACTGACTCCTCTCCTTAAACTTTCAGCCCAACCTCACCTGCCACTGAAGGGTCGGCAATGGCTCATTGCAAAACTTTGATGTGGGATGACAACATTCCTCTGAATGTAGAAACGCCTAAGTATTGTGCGCATTTCGCTCTAGACAGCATGCTTGGTTGGGCAAAGAGAAAGCCAGAGAAAGAAGATCAATGTTGAACTGCGGAATACTTGTTTTTCACACAACGGGCCTTGTGGTAAATCCCTTTTGTGCTTGGCTGAAAGGTTTTAAGAAGCAGGCGATGTAAGATATGTGCTATGCCTCACAATCCTAAAGACCTGCTGTCACTCAAGGCAATCAGATCAGTTGGATTATTATACCCCAACTGGATCATTTTACAACATGCTGTAAAAGAGCATCCTGTTTTCTTAAATGCATAACTTGGTACATTCAAAGAGACTTCTTTCTAAAAACAACAACAAGACACACAGGTTGCTTATTACGTTGCATGATGGTGCCTTTGCCACCAATCTGGAAGCTCCTGATCAGCTTCAGGTATATCATATATCTCCCAACCAGGTGGGCAAGCAAAATTGGAAAATTGCATATGGCACAAAAGGTGCACTGGGGATTGCATGAAATATCTGGGATATTACTCAACTAAATTGAGGCCTTCTGCCTCTCTCTTTCTCTCTCTCTCTCTCTCTTTGAAAATTTTACCAGAATGTAACAAAGAGAACCTTGCGGCCTTCCAGGTGAAGATACAAAAAAAGTTCTTGCCTTTTTTCCTTTCCCCATTTCTGAAATGTAAGCCTTAGGGGTAAATTTCCTCTCTGTTGTTTTGCTAATAGAGCAATGTCTTTGTGGTTGAGGTCAAACAGGGGGGCATGGCTGGTTGTGGGAGGATGCCTCTGTGAAACAATCTCATTCCTTGTGAGTTATTTTGGACAGAGAGAGGAGGTTAAAGGACAAAACAACTCCCTGGTTAAGCCTCGTTGAACTGTAATGCCTACGTTTTATACCTATTTTGCCAAAGAGATATAAATGCACACTGCTATGCCGCCAAAAGTCAGAATAATTGTTTCTAATCTTGGCTGAGCAGTCTGGAGGGAGCACCCGGAATCTAAAAGGAGAACTAGAAATTGGATTATTTGTCCATTTAGCAGAGGGTTGAAAGGAAAGCAATAGAGGGCAAACTTGACTTAGATGGAACACGTTGGCTACATCCCATGTTCCCAGCATTCTGAATTCCAAAGCTTGGTTGAGGGAAGAGTTTGCAATCAAAGTGGGGAGGGGGTGAGATGGAGGCATAAGCATCATGCCAAAGATCAAACTGTGAAAAGTCATCCCTAGCAGTTGTTCTTTCTTTAGAAGTTCTCACTTCCTTAAAATAAGTTCTTGCTTGGAGTAACAGCACAACGTTTTTTTTTTCCCTTTGCCCCCATTACTAAAATTACAAGTCCCAACTGCCAAAGCCAACTGTCAAAAGCATTAGAATCTATTCCTTGTTAAAGAGAAGGCAGCATATCACAAGGTAAGGGAATGTTGCTCCATTTTGTTCAATGTTTTCTCAAACATCACTACCATAAAACATGACAATGCTGTTGATAAAACTTTTGGAGAAGTCCATGAAAGTAAAAAAAAAGTCCATGGAGTAAAACTAATAACAAAAATGGGAATGGCATTTCAGTACAGGGTAAGGTGACTGGAATATTATTTTAGGACACATTGAGTTTGTAAGTTTGTAACCATCAACATTTTTAGACCAAGGGCCCTAATAATCCTGTGCTGAGTGACTCCAATTGATTAATGAATTAAGCCATCAGTTGCTTGTCAACATAATCAAGAATTGGGTCTCATTCTGGTGCAGTGGCCCCTCTGGGAAACCTGGTGGGATATGTATGCTATCAATTCAATTCAGAATGGAGCTGGAAGGGACCTTGGAGGTCTTCTAATCATCCTGTGCAGCTCCCTACTCAAGAAAGAGACTTTATACCATTTAAGATAAGGGGTTATCTCATCTCTTCTTGAAAACTTCCAGTGATGGAGAATCCACAACTTCTGAAGTTAAGTTATTCCACTAGTTAATTGTTCTCACTGTTAGGAAGTTTTCCCTTAACTCCAGGTTGGTTTTCTCCTTGATTAGTTTCCATCTGTTGTTTCTTGTCTTGCTCTGCAAAATAAGTTGACCCCTTCTTCTTTATGGCAGCCCCTCAAATACTGGAACACTGGCAGTGGTGAAATTCATTTTTTTTTTGCTACTGGTTCTATGGGTGTGGCTTGGTGGGAGTGATAAGGGAAGGATACTGCAAAATCTCCATTCCCATCCCATTCTAGGGGAAAGATACTGTGAAATCTCCATTCCCATCCCACTCCAGGGGAAGGATACTGCAAAATCCCCATTCCCATCCCATTCTAGGGGAAGGATACTGCAAAATCCCCATTCCCATCCCACTCCAGGGGAAAGATACTGCAAAATCTCCATTCCCACCCCACTCCAGGGGAAAGATACTGCAAAATCTCCATTCCCACCCCACTCCAGGGGAAGGATACTGCAAAATCCCCATTCTCATCCCACTCTGGGGCCAGNACAATCAACAAACAGGCAAAACAAAACAGTTCACTCCTACAGTTCTGATTTCCTGAGGTAAAAACAAACAAATTCCTGCAAAAAAAAAAAAAAAACTCAACCCTAAACCCCAAACAAAACTGCCTTAATTTCCCTGGCATAGATAATCAGGCCAATGAATTCTGATACCAAACCATTAAGTAGAGCAGCCTTGAGTCATGAAGGACATACATGTGCAATGGAGGAATAGCAAATGAACGTTCTGGGCATTCCTTTCCTTCCCCTTCTCATCCAGGTTCCCCATCAGTCATGGTGCTGATTTCCCTTGGGGTATCATCATTAAGTCCAAAAATGTGGAGTCAGTGGTGACGAACCTCCTCGCAGAGAAAGGAGGAGGTGGTGATCGTAGGAGTTTTGTTATACAACAGAGTCCTTTGCTATCTTTTAAGCCATCCCTGATGAGCTGAAGGTAGCAGCTGTACCCCTTAGGGAGATACAGTAATGTATCTAGTGCGTGCTCATTCCCTCGGTGCCAATAATCCTACAGCAATGCTGCATAATGAATTCCAATAAGAATAGCAGAACCTTATCAGCCAGGTTGGGCCGCGTGCAACTTGCAAAGAATCTCATGGAGCAGAAGCAACTTCAATTCCACGTTGGGCCATCATTTATATTTATAAGTGCTGGCCAATCTTAATTTCAGCAAAGCACTTTGCGGACTGGGAAACTATTGGGGTGGGGAGAACACGGTGTACTACTATATGCTGCACAGTTCTTCCAAGAAGCCAAAATTCATCCTAGGGTCATGTCAGGACCCACTCTTTCGCTAAGGTACTCCTCAGCTTATGACCACCACTGACGCTGTGGTACAATGGTGAGAATGCAGTACTGCAGGCAACTTCTGCTGACTGCCTGCTGTCTGCAATTTGGCAGTTCAAATCTCCCCAGGCTCAAGGTTGACTTAGCCTTCCATCCTTCCAAGGTGGGTAAAATGAGGAGCCAGATTGTTGGGGGCAAGAGGCTGACTCTGTAAACCACTTAGAGACGGCTGGAAAGCACTGTGAAGGGGTACATAAGTCTAAGGGCTATTGCTATTGCTTCAGCTGACTGTTATCTGCAGTTCAGCGGTTCTAATCTCACCGGCTCAAGGTTGACTCAGCCTTCCATCCTTCCGAGGTGGGTGAAATGAGNCTCTCTCTCTCTCCCTCTCTCCCTCTCTCCCTCCCTCCCTTCCCCCCAACCAACCCACCTCACACTGTTGTTGTTGTTGAAAAAAAAAGGAGGAGGAAAGTGTATTGGATATGCTCGCCACCTTCAATTATTTATAAAAATAATAAAGGCAAATATAAATAAAATAAGTAATAAATTGTATGGTCATAGCTGCCATCTTGCCTTTTTTGAACCCTTTGCAGCCTGGATACCCTGCCCTATTAGAAAAAGAAAACAACGTAGGAAAAGTGCTTCCAACATAGATTTGGATATTGGGTGTGTGTGATCATTTCTAGACTCCTACAAATTTCAGTACACCTGCCTTGAAATAATGAAGCATCGAGGTGGGGTTGATCTGCCTCCTTTAGTTGCCCGGTTTCCGTGGAAGTCTGTGGATTAGGGCACAAAAACTGTGCAATGAAATGGGAGATGTGAAGCCTGTCTTGGGCAGAACCCGTATTTGGTAAGCAAAATGAAAGGCCTCAACTTCCTTCCTTCCAGTGAGTTAGAAATGAGACACTGCGGCCCTCCACAGAATACTTAAAAGTGGTGCTTCACTGAAACCTTTCTGAAAGCAAAAGAGTCCTTTGAAGATCTACCCAGCTCTAATAGCTGTCCTCGCACTGTAAAACTCTCCAAACGCGACTTCTGGGACACTCCGGTGAATGCAAAATGAAGGCCAGGATCTCATTTTGAGAACAGAATGCCCGTATTTCAAAGCAGCTTGGGACAATAGGCTTACAATGACAGGAAAGAATTGGAGATCAGTCAAAATGGCGCTGGAACCTGCTTGTTAGACCTCCTAATATAAAATTGAGGGACATGGTGTCTCAGTGGCTAAGATGCTGAGCTTGTCGGTCAGAAAGGTCAGCGGTTTGAATCCCTAGTGCCACGTAACAGAGTGAGCTCCTGTTACTTGTCCCAGCTTCTGCCAACCGAGCAGTTTGAAAGCATGTAAAAATGCAAGTAGAAAAATAGGGACCACCTTTGGGTGGGAAGGGAACACAATTCCATGCACCTTTGTCGTTTAGTCATGCCAGCCACATGACCACGGAGATGTTTTCAGACAGCGCTGGCTCTTCAGCTTTGAAACGGAGAGGAGCATCGCCCTCTAGAGTCAGGAACGACCAGCACATATGTGCAATAGTGTGTGTGTGTGTGTGTGTGTGTGTGTGTGTGTGTGTGTATGTATGTATGTATGTATGTATATGTATACATTTATATACATGTATATGTATATGTATATGTATGTGCGTGCGTGCGTACATACGTACGT